GTATTATATATAAGTGTGTGTATACTACATGTATCCATCTATATTTATAATAAATAATAAGTATAAATGCTGCTGGTTTGATTAAATCATAGATAAATGTTCCATTCTTTATTATTGTTTTTATTATATTCAATGGCAAAAATATCTCCTCTATGATCATGATTAATCTGGTAATTGAATACAATTTGCCTTTTAAATAATTCAATTAACTTTTGTAAATTAAAAAAGTTTCCTGACATAGTTGCAAAATTAGGAAAAAAATAATACACTGCTTTCCAACATGTAGCACCCTTTAAACGAAACCCTCCCAAGTGTGAAGAATGTGTTAAGATTTTATCAAATGAATGCTCTTTGTGTAGAAAAACTGATCTAAATCTTGATTTAAACTTTACAACCACTACAGTCTCTCCGTGTGAGCAAACTCCTGTTGGAAACTGAGAGGACAGGGGGATTATCTCAGACCTCCGGGGATATCCCAGGAAGCAAAAGCTGCCCTAAAGGAACTGTACAGGATTGTCATCAACAAGCATTCCTTTCCAGACTCTGTGAGCCTGTAGATTGGGTGTTTAGTTGCACTGAGAAAGGGGAAGCCACTGGGCTTTCCATTTACCCAGAGAATCAGCCCTGAAGATCTTCAATAGTTTGTGCGTGCAAAGCTGTCTCTGAGGGTGATCAAATCCTCCCCTCACCCTGCGGGGAGGCTGTGGTGAGCAGACGGCAATCATTCACCTGCCGGTTAACAGATAAGCCCTCCATATGCAGAGGCACTCGCCCAGCTGTGGCAGAGGAGCCTCAAGCCGGCCAGTTCCCTCCCCCATCCCCGCAGAACAAAGGCCGGTCATTTTCTGCTCCTCCCAGAGTCCAAGGCACGCACATGCCTTCCATCATAATTAACTCAAGAATCCGAAACACAACAAGAACCCACCTGCAACACGCTCAAAATCAATGCCGTCAATATCCAGAACAAGGATACCAAAAAAGCAAAACAAAACAAACCTATTCAAAGAGTAAATACTCAAAGCAACAAGGGTGGAGCCAGACACACTACAAGGTCAACAAATTCAAGGCAAGTTCAAGTACTGGAAGCCTTATAAACTGAAGAGCTAGCCATTATCCCAGGGATAGCAAAAGTAAAGGCCTTCAGGGGGCAGGTAATGGAAAGATCTATAAGATAATAGATGGTAGGGCTGTCCAGAGCAGGACTGCAGGTGCCCTGAGTAAAGCCATTCAAATTCAGTTTTTAAAAACTTCACCTCCTGATACATGATTCTTAAACAGAGAGTCTACAACCAGAGAGGGAAACAGTTAAATATGGATGTAGGGTGGGTGAAAAGGAAGGAGTCAAAATCAGAACTGCTGACAGAAGTCCATGTGGGATGAAAGGCAGGGTAGTGATCCTAGCTGTCATTATTTGAAAAGACGGTGACCATGTGCTATTGCTTTAAAGGCAATAGCAAAACAAAAGCTAGAAAAAAGGACAGATTAAACCCTAGGGATTTGAATTAGTCAAATTGGCTTGACATAAGTAACCATTGCCATGGGTTGCAAAATGATCACACATATTCCCTGGGATGGCACTTCATAGTAAATGGAGCTTCCAACTACTATAGAGGTGGACCAAATGACCTCCCAAGATTCTGATTTAAATATGTCTGTACAGTCAACTCTTGGTTATCTGGCCCAAAGGAGAAGACAGTGACAAATCATCCTATGCTGAAGATAATAAGAAGTTATATTTGCCTTTGGAATGTATTTTGGTACTTAAATTAGAACGTCTCTTTCTGATGCTCTGTGAATTCACAATGCTTCACAACAGCCACAAAGAAACCCTGACCTGGAGCTGGGAGGCTGCCCAATTTTGCCACACTGTCCTCGGTGTATCTCATCCTTTGCTGGAGGTGAGCAACAAATACATCTTTCAAAATAGCACACAGCATCCCAAGCTTTCTCAGACAGAGGCTGCCTGATGTAACCCTTCCGTGGGAGAAGGGACAGGGGTCTTTCTGAATGGCTGATCCAAGATCAAAACCCTGGATGTTGGTTTGTGGTTTCCAAAGGTCAACTCCAATGTCCTACAGGACCAGTAAGCAGCAAGCTAGTCAAGGTTTAGACATCATTCTAAGCAGATATAAATAATGGTTAGTTTCTCTACCAAAAGGACACAAAAGCAAATTTCTTGAGTTCCTTAGAAGAGAAAGAAAAAGACTTCATGGCAGAGAAAGATGAAATGCATGCCCAGAGCTTGGAAAGGAAGAAGCTGCAGGCTTAGGAAACGCAGGTGCAAACAAACCCCTGCACATAAAAGGATGAGTGGGAGGGAGACTAGCGCTGGAAAATACCTTTAGATTAGGGTTCTAGGACCTGACCTCCGCAATGGATGGACCTAAAGCATTGTCTTTGACCTGGAAAAGACAAGGAGACACTGAAAATCCTGCTACCAAATTGTTCTGCTTCTTCCCAAACAGACCCAGATCAGAAGCAACTGAAGGACAAGAATTTCATTATTAGGTCAGTTCATTGCCACTGAAAGATGGACAGGGATGAGGTGGTGCAGCCCATAACTCTTGTTTTGGGGTTTCTTGGAGAGAGGTGCCACAAAGGTAGAATAATGACAAAAAAAAATAAACCTAAGCTGCAAGCAGCTCTTGTGTCTTCCTTACGAAGTGTGTTGGGCTCTCCATGCCCTTTCTTCAACTTCCTCTGGAGCCCTGAGAGAAGAGTGAGCACCAGAGCAAGAGAAAACCAAAGGTCTCCTGAAGTGACTGGGGAGGGGGAGCATTGGGCTGCGTGAACCAGAGCTACTGTTTGGTGAAGGGTGTGTAAGTTGCTGAGACCAGAGATGTCTTTGCTGTGGGGACAGCGTGATTTTTTGATTGCTGGGCCTGGAGGCTCCTGCCAGGTGTCCCAGAAAGAGAGGGAAAGAGGATGAATAGACTTTTTGTTCACATTTCAGGTCTTAATTTTTCCATGTTAATTTGTGGAAATACAAGAGTATACCATCATCTGAGATGAAAGAAGAGCATGCTAGTAGTAACTAAGAGTAGGTGGGATAAGGGAAGGACGGCTGTCTCACTGTTCTCTGTCCCCAGCTCCTACCAAGGGAAGCTGGGGTCACCCAGCAGGAGGTGGGGCAACCAGAGCATCTCAGAAGTACATCAGAGTCCTCTAACCAGAGACTTTGGCGGGGTGGCACATGGCTCTGAGAGTCAAGCTGGGCATGAGCTTGGCCAGGAGGGCTTCTCTGACTTAGAGAGAGCCTGGGCAGTCACAGAGCTGAACACAGGCCAGCAGCTACCTGCAGTACTGCTCAGCTCCCTGTGGGTGGAAAGGATCGCTACAGTCATTCTGATTTTCCTTTTCTCTGTCATAGTCTTCTCTTTAGTTTTTCCTTCTAAAAGCCCCAAATGGAACTGTCTAATCTAAATGTGGCTATTTAATTAAAATTAAATCAAATTAAAAATTCAATTACTTGCTCAAACTAGTCATATTTCAAATGCTTACTAGCCATGTGTGGCTAATGGATACTACACTAACATAGAACATTTATGTCATCACAGAAAGTTCTACTGGATGGCACTCTAATCCTGACCTTCTAGAAGGTCTAGAATCTAGTACCTCTCCTCTTCACAGCATAGAAGAAATGAATAATGAAAGAGGAAAGGAACTTTACAAAGTATCTTTTCAAAACATCATCACCATGGACCTTCACAACTACCCTGGGAGGTAGGCATAGCAGTTTTTACACCCATTTTACAGATGAAGAAAGTTGGTCTGTGGAGTTAAATGAGTTGCACAAGGTCCATAACTATTGGATTGGGTAGGGTTAAATTAACACCAGGTCTTCCAGTTCCAAGGTCAATGCTTTTTTTTGGTACCAAGGATCGAACTCGGGACAATCCTCTTTATTGTTACGTGCAACTGCTACAAATAATGTCACCTGCCCAGCACTTTATTCAGAGCTATTATAAAAGCTCAGGCCTCCCAGAATAAGGTCAACAAGCCCCTGTAGTGTTTTTAGTGATTGACTGATTTTTGAAATGATAACTAAACTTTGTATAGTGTAGTTTGGCAGCACTGGAATTAGGAAGACTTGAAGTTCAAATCCTGTCTCGTGCACTTATTATTTATTTGACAGAGGGCAAGTTGCTTACTGTCTCTGAACCTCCATTTCCTTTGCTCTAAACTGAACGATAGCATTATCAGGAGGATGAAATAAGATGAGGCACGTGAAATAAGCTGATATACAGTCCCTGGCACATACTAGTGCTTAATAAATAATAATTATCAATGGTGACTGGCAGAATTTACAATGTTCTGTCATGTGTGATAGCCTATTGAAACTTTGGAACAAGCCATTACTATGTAAAAAAAGCCATCCTCTTTTCTATATGATATATCTGAATCGCAGAGAGTAAGGAACTGACTCAAGGTTGTACAACAGGGAGGTTGTACACCTAGGCATTCACTCAAGCTACTTAAATACCAAGGTGATGCTTTTCTTGCTTTTTCAGGAGAGAAGGAAGCAGTGGGTACCAAGGAATGGTTAGAGGAAGCTTAACTAACCCCCTTGATTCCCACCTTCCCCTCTTCTTTGAAATGGGCAATTAATATTGTCTTAATATCAAATAAAGTGCTGTGCAAAGGCAGCATCGAGCATCTCCTACTATGATTATCACCTTTAAGCCCCTCTACATAGAGATCTTAGAGCCCCTCTGGAAAAGGTTATACCTGTATAACCAAGAAGGCTTAAATGTTACAAGAGAGAAAAGTCTGTGGATCAATCTTCTTCCAAATCGCCCTCCTTCTTAACTTCCTGCTGTGGCAAAGAGCAACACATAGCATTCCAGAACCATGGCCAAGGTGGCCAGGCTTAGGCTGAGTACCACCAACCTATGCATAAGAGCAGGTATTTTCACAAGGTTTCCGAGTTATCTGTTACATAACCATGTCATAAAAATCTGATTAAATATCTGTCAGACTTAGGTTTAGGAGGCACTTACCCTGCCACAACGATCTCGAAGTCCCCATCGTGGTCTACATCAGTAACTGCCACACCATAGTTGAGCTGAGTTGGGTTGCTGTCATAGTCGGGGGGCAGAACCGAGTTGGTGACTGCAATGAACATAGGTTCAGCCTGCTGGGACCCCTCAGCGGAAGGCAGAAACCACAGCAGCAGCAGAAACAGTAACATTCTGAACATCTGAAACCAAAAGTTACAAACATTGCTGAAAGATCCTGTAGCTAAAGCAGCCAGGAAAATCCAATTCCAGCTAGGCCCAGAAGTTCCTTTCTCCCTTGTTATGAGGGCTTTGCAATCCTTAGGGTGTCTTGACCACCCTCTTTAAAACTGCAACCTGCTCTATCATAGCAGACCACCTTTATCCTGCTCTGCTTTCCTATTTTCTATAGTGCCCAACACTGAAAAACATACAACATAATTTAGTTATTTTTTTTACACTTATTTACTGTCTGTCTTCCTCTGCTAGAATATAAACTCCACTTGAGCAAGGATCTTTGTCTATTTTACTCACTGTATACACCAAGTCAAAAACAGGGTAAATAACAGGTACTCAATATATGTGGAAGGAAGGACAGAAGTAGAAAAGAAAAGGAAGGAAGGGAGGAGAAAGGCAAGGCAGAAGGGGGGAAGAAAGAAGAAAGACGGGATAGAGTATATAAAATATAGGCATCTTCCATACTACGGGAGAAAGTTTGGAAAAATGCAGAAAGTAACATCTAAAACAGTGCAGAGGTGGAGGTGAGACTCCCCACGAGTCTGAAGGTATAGAATAACAGAATTGGTGAAGGGTTGTCCTCTTGTGGAACATACCCCAGAGGTAGCCTTGGGGGAATCTGTGACTTGGCAGGTTCCCCAAACCAAGATACCTCCCTAGGGCAGCTGGCCATTGCCTCCAGACCAAGAAACAGTCAGTTAGGGGATACATTCCAGCAAGGTCTGGCAAGCAGCACATCATTCACTTGGAGAAATTAAACCATTGCTTGCGTGTTTTATTATAAATTAATTATGTATAATGCATTGTATAATTCATTATTATATCTGTAACATAACTCAGGGTGTTGCCAAGCAGCCTGGGGCTATGGGAGCCTGTGGCACTCACCCAGGAGACAGTTGAGAAAGGCCAGTGAGGTGGAAGGACTCCGCCCCCTCTGACTGTGAGCAAGGGAAACACTTAGAATGCAGCAGATGGCGCCACCCCAAAATGGCTCTCCTGACTTCTTGGAGTAGAATCAGCCCCTGTGGAGTGTTCTGAAGGTTCACTAATACAAGTCCCACAAAACCTGTGCAGGTCCAGTCCTGTATCTTAAAACAGCCAAGAAATTCTAGGCCCAGAAGTTCCTCTCTCTCTTGTCACAGGGGGGTTGGCAATCCTTATGCTGCCCTGGCCACTCTCTTTAAAACTGTCGTCCTGTCAGGCCACGAGCCACCTTCCTGCCTTCAACAGGCAGAAAACCTCTTTCTGATGGAACTTTTGCTGCTGTCTTGTCAGTGCATCTGGCAGCTAAGAGCAAGGCTGAGTGAGGCTGATGCCTTAATGTGGAAGTGCAAAGAAGATCTGAAGACTGTCTCCCATATAGAGACAGATGCTCTTGCCAGCAAATGAGCTGGCTCCAAGAGCCAGAGACTACATTGAAGGGCCCAGGCGCTGCCTTCAGAGTTTTCCAGGAGCAGAAGCTTCCCTGACGCCTTGCTGGACAGGCTGGAGAGAGGTACAGGGGCAGGGTTCCAAATGCAGGGCAGAACTAGCTGGGTGAGTCTTTCTGGTAAGGAGGTTCCTACAGTGTGTCCACAGGGCTCATGTTGGGAGTTGTACTAGCAGACTGAGGTTATTCCAAATTACAGAGGCATCAGAATGGGACAGTATCTTCTCTCTGGCTGTCTAGTCACTAAAGACAAATGCATCACTGTAAGAGCTCTGCAATGTGGCCGAAGTTTGATAGGATCAAGGAAACTCATAATTGGATAATAAGCAGCTGGGGTAGGGGTAGGAAGGTAAAGAGTATTTAATAACCAGCATAGACACAATGAAATATAATGCAGATCTGAAGATCACTGGACTTTTCAAGGTATGACCTCTATTTAAGGGACAGCAAATGAGTTTAATTTGAGAGCCAAATCCAATTGATTGGCAGTGGCTGGGAAGAGTCATCAGCTTACAACATCTGCAATGGGCATGGAAGAGAAAGTGGCATTGGGCATGCCTTCTAGAAGTTAGTTAATTCCTTCAAGCATCTTACCTGCAGCTTGAGTCACTGCCCCCAGGGATGGGGTTCTATTAGGGTAATGTGAGCCCAACTGGTAGAAATTTTCTAGGGGAGGACATGAAGGACAAGAACTATGATTCAGCTTCTTAATTTTTACCTTTTCTTTGAAAAGTAGAACTTTTAATTAAAGAAGTCAGGTTAAAAATAAAAAAAGAGGGGCCGGGGATTTAGCCCAGTGGTTCTGCCGCCTGCCTCGCAAGCACAAGGTCCTGAGTTCGATCCCTAGTATCAAAAAAATAAAATTAAAAAAAAAAAGAGAGAAGCTATTCTGTGTTACTCATTTCCAGATAAATACCCTACAGCAAGATGAATAAAAAGCTAAGTATTTGTGAGCTCACTTCTATTTTGCTTGGTGATCTTAAACAAGTCACAACCTCTTTAGATCCCAGCCTTCTTCTCCAACATTAAGGTTTGGGAGGAGATCTCTAAGTAAGTCTTTTCTGACTCTAAAATTTTATGATGGATTAAAGGATTTTTTGAGAAGTAGACTTTCAGGAATCTCTCTCTACTTCCATACTGGCTTCTTCTATAAACTTGAGACCAACCTGTACGGTTTTCCTTTCTGAGCACAACAGCTTTCCAGGAGAGTCCTACAGTAGTACCCTCAAAGAAGCCAAGGCTGGAGAGAAACAAGTCAACATTTATGTGGATCTTGAATTCACTCAGCAAGGGTAGACCAGTGAATGGCCTCCCCTGGGGAGAGCAGGGCAGGGAGAATGTTTCCTTTACATTTCATTCCTCTGCCATGCCAGATGTAACCCATGCACCCACCAGGGTTGCTTGGCTCAATCGAAAGTTAGAGGGTAAGTGGTGGGTTATCTTGATGATGAGTCAGGAAACAGTTATGGTGATGAAGCTTAGGAGAAGATCTGATAAATATCTATCCTCTAAGTATTCAGATGAAAGAAGTCATTAAAATGCTTCTCTGTACCCTAGCTACTCAGAGTGGTCCATAGACCAGCAGCATTAGCATCATTTAAGAGTCTGTCGGAAATGTAGAAACTTGGGCCTCACCTCAGACCTAATAAATCAGAATATGCATTTTAACAAGATTTCAGGTGATTTGAATGTACACTAAAATTGAGAAACATTGCTTAATCTTGGCTGTACACTGGAATCACTTAGGGAGCTTTAAAAAATCCTCATGCCTGACAATGATTTCTTCAATAAGACACCAAAAGCACAGGCAATGAAAGAAAAAAATAGATGAAATGGGATACATCAAAATTAAAAACATGTGCATCCAAGGACATTATCAAAACAGTGACAAGACAACCCACAGAATGGAGGAAAATATTTGCAAATCATAAATCTGATAAGGTATTAATATCCAGAATATATCAATAAACTGCTACAACACAATAAAAAAACAAAACAACCTTATTCAAAGTGGGCAAAGGATTTGAATAGACATTATTCTAAAGAGACACAAATGGCCAATACAATCATGAAATATTACTAACTATATAGTAAATGCAAATCAAAACACAATGACATATCATTTTATACCTATTAGCATGACTATAATCAAAAAACCAGAAAATAACAAGTGTTGGTGAGGCTATAGAGAAACTGGAGCTTTGTGTATTGCTGGTAGGAATGTAAAATGGTGCAGCTGCTGTGGAAAACAGTATGCCAGTTCCTCAAAAATATCGAAATAGAATTACTATATGATCTAGCAATTCCACTTCTGAGTATATATGCAAAATAATTAAAAGATTTATTTAACAGATATTCATACACCCATGTGGCTAGCAGCATTAGTCACAATAGTCAAAAGGTAGAAGGAACCAAAATGTCAATGGATGGACAAATGGGTAAACAAAATGTAGTAAATACATACATTGGAATATTGTTCAACTTTAAAAGGGAATAAAATTCTGACATGTGCTATAGTGTGGGTTAATCTTGAAGATATTTTACTAGTTGAATAAGCTAGTCAAAAAAGGAGATATTGTTAGATTTCACTTACATGAGGAACAGAGAGTAATCAAATTCACAGAGACAGCAAATAGGAGCTGGAGAGAAGGAAGAGTGGAGAGTAGGTATTTAATGGGCATAGTGTTTCATTTTGGGAAAATGAAAGAGTTCTGGAGATGGATGATGGAGATGGCTGCATAAGTGTGAGTTTGCTTAACACCACTGGTAAATTTTGTGTTTTATATATTTATATTTTATATATATTTTATGTTTACCACAATAAAAAAATACTGATGTATGGGTCTTATCCCAAGATATTGTGACTTGTGGGGGGGTGCTGAGTGAGAGTCTTGCTGTGTAGTCCAGTCTGGCCTTCAGCTCACTATTTAACCCAGCCTGGCCTCAAACTCAAGGCAATTCTCCTACCTCAGCCTCCCAAGTGCTGGGATCACAGGCGTGTGCCACCACACCCTGCCAAGATATTGTGACTTAATTGGCCTAGGAAACAACCTGGGAATCAGATTTCTTTAAATTTCCGTATGATTCTAATATGCTGCAAAATTTGAAAAACATTGTTCAATACTAGTACTTCAGGCTTCTCAAACTTTAATGTGTCCATGAATCACCTGCTGATCTTTTTAAAATGCAGATTCTGATTCAGTAACTCTGATATAGAGCCCAAGATTCCATATATCTAATACATTCTGGAGATGCTGGTCCAAAACCACATATTGGTTCTATGCTACAGCTCCCAGAGTCATGAAAACAGGCTACACTCCCAGGGAAGGTATGAGATGGTTCAAGAACTTTCCCCTCTGCCTCCAGATCTAAGGAGCTGAAATCAACCCTACAGCTACGCAATCTCCAGGGATGCCTAGGCTCAATTCATTTTTATACTCTCAAAATACTAGTTGTCTTCAGCTCAAGGTCAAATTACCACAATTGATGGGGAATGATAGAGGGATGCTGACTCTAATTTTTGCAAAGAGGTGAGAA